TGATTTATTTTACAAAATGAGCTACCAAGAGATAGGCATGTGATGAGACCCACCTTATTTGTCATATCAAAAGATGTGGGTCTCATCACTCTATCTATTGGTAGCTCATTTTGCTAAATGAGCCACCACCTCATAACTTGAAGCATGCTTCTGATTTTATAAATCAGTGACATAGTTAACTAAATAGTGGAATATTAATCTTCATGGTCGATACAAGTATAGTTTTGTGCTCGGATAATCTCTGCTTATACAGAAACTTGTAACTAAGGGTACAAGAAATGTGTCACTGCTCAAGTTATATTAGTGCTTTCGTCATGCTTCTAAAACATGTTGTAGTGGGTGATGTTTCATAATGATTTCCAAGTTTTATGAATTAAGAACATTGGTAACGTTTGATCAACTGGAGCATCCAACATGTTATCTGCATATTTTACGTCTTCGGTTTCTAGATATAGATATAGCACTGAAGCACAAATTGGCGTCTACTTGTTAAACTTCCACAAGATATTAGCCTCCTAGAGCAGTAGCAGGTTCCCAGAAGCAACACTATCTCTAAGATAAAATTTATCGCACTAACTTCTTTAAGGTCTGTTCTTTCTCATCTTCTAAAAAATTTGATAAGATATGAAATGATGATAGAATAAGCATTACTATCATGATTTTGTAAAGATTTAGGACAAATATTGTATTAGGAAATTATTTTTTTGAGAAACCACCTCCAGGCGAGCATGAGCACCAAAACCTTAGAAAGATTAAAAATCATCTCAGGGTGCAGCGTTCTTAATGCAAATGAAGATTTTAAAATTACATAATCTGGGTGAATCAAGGGTTGTGAGAGAATCTCATATCCCTTTTCACTTTCTATTCAGGACCAACTTAGTTGAGAAAGCTCATATTAAAAGTTCATCTTGAATCAATCCACTAACTTTGGTGGTGGCTTAAGCCATTGTGAAGCCTGGATGAAGTTCATGCTCACAAATGGTTTTGCCTGCTCATCCGTTAACAACTTCGTGAATTTCACTCGATGTTTTGTTGCTGCACCTGGACCTTGAGATTTGTATTCACCATAGAACACACTTCTGCAAAATATTGAGATAACTTAGGTATACATACTCTCGACATATAAAGATAATTAATAAATATTTACCCTTGACGGTTTGAGTAGCCTTTATCGTCCCATCCTCTGGGATTAATGAGATTGCCCATATAAGTGTAAGCAAAGACAACCCTTGAGTTTTCCTTCCATGCTCTGCCTAGGAATGCATTCCCTGTTCCTGTAATGTTGCAGTTGAGGAAAACAAACGCACTGTTGTCCGAGGTGCTATACCTTCCTTGTGCTGTTATCGCCGTGACCCCATCCGCAATTGACACTAACTTGCAATTCTATGGAAAAATTAAATTTGCTTACGATTGACAGTAATACTAGTTGGTGAACAGTATGTAATATTACGTTATTACTGGAGGTTGAGATATTTAGGCTGTATTATTTGCAGGAACTATATTATTTAGCAGTAAAATATTGATGTAAAAATTTCAACACATTAAGTTACAAAGATGAAACATTAACAAAACCCAGAAAACTGTGGGTTCTGTAGATTTTCTCCAAACTAGTTTACAAGTGGATGTGCATAATTTTTCTTGGAAGTAGTCTCATTACATGCTCCTTAGTTGAAGAGGTTAGCTCCAGGATTTAAAAAAAAAAGGTCCAGCTGCCCAGAAGGTTTATGTCTGTTTATCACTTTTTCATAGTTTTCTTAGCTGTGAATTTGTCATCAGTCAGCTTAGGGTTAATCTCAGGTTAATTGGCAATCTCCTAATCTATTTCCTGCATTATTTTTTCTCGAATTTTTTCATGCTCTATATCTCACCTCATAGTGATGGGGAACAAGGGTTTTCGATGATTACATTGTTTAGTATTAGAGACAATTCTTATCCCCCAAAACACATCTAATAACTATTCATTTATAAAAGGCTGCAAACACTACTAGAATTTGGTACACAGAGAATGGAAAACACTTAATCCTGAACTCCTGTATCATATGAACATAATTTAATCTAACCTTGTGCTGAGTGTTCTCTTCAAATAGGAGTTGGTTTGAAACTGCTAGATGACAAAATATGAATAAAGTTTAATTTCAGAAGCGGAAAGTCACTATTAGATCCCGCAAGAAATTATTAAATGGCTAGTTGGATCTACTACCTAAAATAGACCTACAACAGTGGATAACTGCCACATAAGATTTTTAATTAATCAGGTTAACTGCTTTCTTAGCTTTGTCAACCATGTAAGTTATCTGGTAGAAGCTGTTAGCACTTACTGCATCATGTTTGGTAATTGGTTGCTTGATTGAATTTTGTACAACTTCATAATATTAAATTTTTGCTTAAGAGGCAATGAAAATATCACCGAATATATGGATCTGCCATCGCCAAATATAAAATCTACTGTTCCCCTGATGTAGCAATCCTTGAAGAAATGCAGTCCTTTATCATCACAGAGAGTATCCTGATGCCCATAGAACCTGCAGTTGTAGAAGGCTGCCTTGTCCCCAGATATCCTCATTGCTACGGCCTGGGATCCTTGCATGCCAAGAATTGGCTTTGGAGAAGAGTTCTATATACATCAAAACGAATTAAGAAAGCAAAAAGATAGGGTTAATTGCGGATGGACACCTTGTACTACAGAGCAATTGCACCCAATTGTGAATTGGTTCCATGTAGTTCAATATGTGTGGATATACCGTCCTGAGTGGAATTTTTTACGCCTTTTAAGAGACGAGGAAACTTCACTCAGGGACTTATCCACACTTGAGCAAATAGTGCAGAGAGTCTATATGCAATTGTGTGGCAGTACAGGGTTTATCCGCAATTAACCCAAAAATAAATGGAAATCCAAATTACTATTAACTATTAAGTTGAAGGTCGAATTACCTCAAAGATTATATTGCTTGCAACGAAGTAATCAGACTCCACTGCGACTGTAGCACTATTTATAGTCCCATATTGAGATGCCGTGGCATCAAATGTTATCCTTGGCATTTGATCTGGTTCACCGTAGAAAGTGATGTAGGGTTTTAATCTATCAACGGTCACTTTCTCTTTATATACTCCTGGCCCGATCCTCAAGATCGTGCGCTTTTTATTTCCTGATGGGATGCTATTGATTGCTTCTCTTAGCGTCCTGAAATCCCCTTTTCCATTCTTCCTCACTGTTATAATCTTTGGTTGTTTCTCTGCACTTGCAAGCTCTGGATCAATACTGTTTCCTTGTGCAATTTCTCCTTTCTTGAATCCTTTGGAGCTGTTAGATATCTGCGGGTTTAGGTCTGCACAACGAAGTGAGATATTGATGCCAGTTGCCATAGAATGGAGGAAGAAGAAGGATATCAGAAGAATAGGAGGGAAATTGAGTCTGGCTAGTTTTCCATACATCTTTCTTGATTGGGAGAGATGAAGGTGAAAAAGGCAATAGCTGGTGAATGTAGAAATTCAAGGAAACTAATGAACCAACCTGGCCCTTTGGCTTTAGTTGTCTTTATATATTCCATGTGACTGTTGCTGAATGTTCATTTATCTTTGTGAATTAATGACCACAAATGCTCAATTAAATATGTGTTATTGCATAATTACGTTGATGGGGGACTGGAGAAGAAAATTCAAAAAAGTCTTTAATGGCCCATTATGAGGGGGATTAGAGTAAATTGAATGACGATGTTTTGGTTTTGGAATTGACTTAGCAGTTTTGGGTTAGTAAGTGTTTGAAACTGAAGAAACTTGGAAGTTTTTTCTCCCTTTGGTTTATTTATTGGTGAACTACTCTTTTAACAGTTGTTTATTCATTCAGTTAGTGTTCTTCAACTTTGGTCTTTAGTAGTTCATGAATACAGAATACTTGCATTCATTACGTACCTTGTAGAGAATTCAACTTTTGATTCTAAACCTAGTACTTTCGTATGATGCAGGGCTATATTCTACAGATTTGGTGAAGTACAGATTTGCTTAAGTATGAGACCTCCTGAGGAGAATTTGCATCTCGAAAATTATTGATTACAGTTAAAATATTTACTGAAAGATTTGAAAGCAAGCTTAAGACTTTCATCATGGCACATTACCTTTCGGAAGAAATTCTTTAAGCCAAATGTGGTATATGATATGGCCTCTTTGTAATGTAAATTGTGACTATAAAAAAACCTCTCTAATTATGGGGAATGTTTCATAAAAGGTAAATATTATTTTTAACTGCCGTATTTAATTAATTAAAATTAAAATCTTGGGCAGGGGTGTTGTTTTCCGTTATTGCATGCAGTTTCAATTGCTGTAGTTAGACCGTGTACTGATGGCTATAGTTATTGTAAAGTAATCAGCTTGAGCGTTTATTTTTCCTACTGTAAAGTTGAAGTTGCAAAGAGCGGAACCGACATCATTATTATTTTGTATGATTTCATCTCAGTGGAATGACCTTGGCAATTGCAAGAAGATGCCAAAATTCTAAAGAACGTGAACAAACTTTTGTTACTTAATCTAGAAAAAAACCAAGTAATTTCCTGTTTAGATCCCTTTTTGCCATTAAAGGAAACCCTCCACTAATACCAATGTCGGGCGTTGAAATTGTGGGTTTGGCCTGCATCAGTATCAACATCCACAATTCCACATCAAAATCTCTCAGACAAGACAATACTACCCTCTTGTTTCAAACACTACATGATTTCACCCTTGCAGAGACGAAGAAGCTGGAGTGAAATTGTAGAAATTATGCCTTAAGAGTATATAAATGAAGATAGCGTAAGACTATTGGAGCTACTGTAACATTTTCTAAAATACACAAGCACAAGAGTGAGTTAGGCTACTATTAGTAACTTCCAAGATGCAGACAAATCAATCTCCGAGAGAGTACTAGAAAAACTTTTATTTCCCCAACAATGCCCTTCATCTTTCATGAAATTAACCAATTTACTCTATTATCATAACTCCCAATCTTATTAAATCACATTAATTAGAGGTTTATATTATAGTTTAACTATTCTTTAGATTATTAAATAAATTAAATCTAATATAATAATTAAATCAATTATCATAATAGTATTAGATTATCAAGTGTATGATGTTTTAATATACTGTAGGAATTATTATTTATGTAATAATACAACTCCGATTAGATTATAATAGTACAAATTTATATTAAACATTAGATTTTTAATAGTATAAGATTATAATTAAACAATAATTTTTAGTGCTTATCAGCTGCAAATAACGTTTATATCTCATCTAGAGTGGTTTTAAAAAAATTGAAATAATTAATTATGTAACTCTAATTAAATTAATAAATTAATCGTTATCTAATCGACTTGTTAACAATAACTTGGTGTTTATGTGTGCATATGTAAAGGCATAGATGAAACGTTTTATTTAGACTTTAATAGTTTATAGTGCTTGAGAGACACAAACCAAGATAGAAAATAGTTCACACTTCTCTCTGATTCTACCTTAAGTAGTCCCCACAAAACTTAGATTTTCTAATGTGTGAAAATTTGATGTCCCTCTAATGGAAACATTACATAAAGAAGAAAACTAGCAGTTTGGAAAGCTTCTTTTCGTGTATTAACACCTTTGACAAGTGAGCTCCTCTTGATACCTCTAACAAATTATCACGAACCCCTCCAACTTCCAGTTGTTTCATTTCACTCCATATATAGTCTCCTTCACAGGTCCCCCCTTTATCACTCTTCACATAATAAATACTAGGTCAAATCAAATGATCAAAGTGTCCGAGTTCTACTTTTTCCCCCTATGCTACTCTTCTTTGCTTTGCTAATGCAAGGAAATTGAAGGAAAACGGGGAGTTCGAATACTAGAATACTTGCTTTTGCATTGAGACAAGCTTGGTATTAGCGGTGAGGTGAATTTGATGAAGGTGGATGTAGCGAGCTTGGCAATTTCGGCAGTAGGGGTCGGAGACGATGTCAGAGGAGGTGGAGGAGCTGGGTTCGATGGGCAATTGTGGTTGATTCGATGAAGATGGTGGGTCTGACAAATAAAGTAGTGGCAAGTAGTTCGATCGAGGAAGGGGATGTGGATTTGGAGGTGGTGATGAAGGTTTCGATGGAGAAGGAGGGTGTCGGAGGAGCTCATGATGAAGTTGGGACATAAGTTCCATCCATTCACATTTTTTAGTACTTCTGTATGGATAAATGCATTTATATTATCTAAATTGAAGTTTTAGTGTTGTGTGTGTTGTCGTAATTGGAGAAACTCATTTCTTATCCACATCTCTTTGTTTCTTATTCATCTTATATATTTGGGGTAAATTGAGACAAAAGTATTTAGGGAAAAAAAGACAATTCCATAAAGAGAGAGACTCTTTGTGTGCAATAGTCACCGAGTCTATCCTTTAATGCTAAAAGAACTTTGTTACGTATCATTTTCTTTAGGATGTATAGTTCTAATGTTGATGTGTTTCATATAAAATTTTGTGCTACTTATTCTCTATGATTCACTGAAGATCCCAATAAAAGGACAGTAAGTGTATCTACATGCATACACACATAAACTATATCCTTTCAAATTTTTCACATAACATCCAATCTTATATTTAGTATAGTTAAATATATAATTTTGAACTATAGTATAAAAACTTTATACTGAAGTTTAGGTATTAATAATTAATGAACTTTATATCTATATTACATTATACATTATACTATAATTATAATTATAATCAAATAAATATGTACACTTAAAATTAATGTATGATATTATTATACATTATACTATAATTATAATTATAATCAAATAAATATGTACACTTAAAATTAATGTATGATATAAATAATTACCATAGTTTGATATTAATTATAATCAAATAAATATGTACACTTAAAATTAATGTATGATATAAATAATTACCATAGTTTGATATATCTATATTATACTAAATTTTATGTCTACAGTGTATTATACATAAAAGAAGAATGTATACTAAAATATATTTTAATATATCTGTATGTAACTATACTATGATACATTTTATAAACTATACTATAACTTTGAATGATACATTTGTTATAACCCAAAGCATGTTATTATGGACGTGGATTAGCATGCAAAACCCACTACAAGCTTGAATGTTTGCACAGCTTTAATGTCTAATAATACATACTAAATGCAATAGGAGTTACATTTTGTTATTAGTCTTTATGTATCATTTAGTTATTTTGGAATGATATCCAAGAGTCGCTTTTTTATTAGTAATGAATTCTGATAGTCTTCATTTGTAGCTATAAATACTCTAAGCATATGATGAAGAAAAGTAGATAGTATACAATCTTTAGAGAAAATTGTTATTTCACTTGCTTCTAATATTTTTTCCTTTCAGGAACTACAAATGATGAGTAATTTCGATATAGTACATGTCAGATTTATATAATTCTACCTTCTCCTGATCCATCATGATAAATATTAGTCGACTTTATTTTGTCGCTTGATTTAATCTCATGTGATTTTTGGGTACTTTGGGGAAATTTTTAGGATCTGTAAGTGAGGAAAGATTACACGGTTTTATGTGTGTTGTATCTGAATAATTTCATCTTTTTTTACTTCATAACGTAAGTTAAATTACATGCTCATTCTTGAAAAAAATTTTATAGTCTAAACCAGAGATGAATAATTTGAGAAGTGAGGCTATTTGAAGATTAAAACTAAGGTTTTGAGAAGTTCCCATACTTAACCCCTTAAACTTCCGATTAATTATTTATCAAAAAAATTCCAACTAATGAATCTTATAATTGACCTTCTCTCAAAAAATTTACGATTAGGTTTTTCAACTCTCATTGGCTCCAAATTAATGAATAATTTAATTGGTAAGTTGGTGTATAAAGTAAAAAAATGTAGGACAATGCCTATCTATTTTAGTTTTAACCTCTGATTTCTTTAAAAAACTTATGAGATTGCAGGTCATGGCATTGATCGGAGCTTTGCATGCAGGATCTGTTAGACCCTAAAGCCACTAGAAAAGAACCCTAGAGAGAAGGGGGGGGGGGGAGGCTTTGCATGCAGGATCTGTTAGACCCTAAAGCCACTAGAAAAGAACCCTAGAGAGAAGGGGGGGGGGTGAGTAAGGTTTACACTAATCTAATCCAATTTAATGCCAATTAAAACTTATTAACAAATATCTTTGCAAGATAGATATACAATATGTTATGAGAAAGAAAGAGAAATATAAATAAATAGCAATATCCTAGCTATGAGATATATAGTGAAATATATGTAAGGATATATAAACTAACACAATGGTAAAATAAATAATAAACTAACAAGAGTGATAATGCACAAAAGATAAACTCAAACACAAGCAAATGATCATTGAGTTCGGACCTTCCGTCCTATATCTCTGCTCCCCACTCCCGGAGAGAAATCCACTATCATAATCGAGTTTTCAACGCTCACTCGAAAATATTTACACCTCACAATCGGTTTTCTACGCTCACCGACAAACATTTACAACTCACACTTGTAACTACACAAATACCACCTCAAGTGTTGGCCTCTCACGTATCTCCCTCAAGTGCTCGGAATTACTACATCTTACTAGGTTTTATTACCGACACCATTTCTCTTAGGACTGACCACGTCTCTCACATCTACACTCCTCTTGGTGTACGTGTGCAATACAATGTAACCTCACAAATGAAAGCTCAACAACAAATAATTTGTTCTCTAAACAAGATGAGAACTCAATTAAGCCCACATTTAAAGTCACAATCCTACAACCCCAAATTATACTATGTATGCAAATACAATAAGCTCAATAGGTTGTGCGTGAACAATGAGTATAATAAAAAACAAATCTAAACTCCATTGAATTCTAGCTTATGGAAATTAAGTTCAAACATATAAACTGTTAGAATTGAGTTTAAGAAAAACTTCTCTATAGAACAAGAGTAGAAGAGATGAAGTTGAAGCCCAAACAAGGAATGTATAATCTCTTCTTGCTCTTATGAAACTTTCTTCACAAACCGAAACTTGAAACAAAAATTTAAAACCCTTAAACAAACTTGTAAAAACTTTTTAAAACTTTTTTTAGTTGGTTTTAGGCCCGAGGTATGAGGGGTATTTATAGACACCCCAAAACACAAGAAAATAAAGCAAAAAGATCAAAAAAATTAAAACAGGACAAAGCTAGAAAAACTAGTCGTTAGAGGCTGTCAGTAGATTGATATTTTTCATCAGTCGACTGATAAGCTCACCGTTAGAGTCAGCAAACATCTCATCAGT